CCTTATAAAAATAGATTATCTCAAATTCAATTTATTCGGTATTTAATTTTCGCAATGGCGATCAATAAAAATAGATATACTAAATATCCATCGGAAGCTTCCAGAGAAATAGAAAGCCATAAAAAAAATATCGTTTGTGTTTAGAATTGTTCATACAGTTTTTGTTATAAAAAGATATATATTTCTTATTTTATATAATTAATCATTTGTTAATTATATAAAATTTATATAATTAATAAATTTACTGTTTAGCTCAAAAGAGTACAAATCTATCTGGCGATGAATCGCAATCAAAATGGATAGCGAAGGGCTCTAAGAAGTCAAAGATTAGATCAAGATCTAACCAACGAAGGGATAAGGTGGGTAGGGCACTGCCGCCGGAAAATAACCGGGATATGGTACCGTTGGCTGTACCGGTACCGTGTTAGTGACATAGGTGGTAAGTTCGGTAGGGACGACCCTTGTGGAAAAGAGGGTGGTGTAGGCAGTTTTGGCGCCGAAGGTGAGTTTCAGCACCCTCGAGTCGGATATGGTGGCGAGAGTCTGGGTGACTATGGGTGTGGTTGTCACCGTAAATTGCGGATGTTGTGGGAACAATGGCAGCTGCGGCACCTGCGGCACCTGCGGTACCTGCGGCACCTGCGGCATTTGAGGCTGCAGCACAGGACTAATAGTGGACGTACCGTACTCGTAGGATGTCCTGAAATAAAGCCGCAATTAAAGTATATTATTGTAAAAAGCATATAAATATAAGATAATTAAATAAAATATAAGATTTAATAAATATACAAATATGATAGACAAATATAACGTGATATAAAATTGCAGCATAAAACGTTGCAGTTTTATATCACATTAGATTTTACATTTATATTAACATGTTATATTTAAATATTGTTAGTTAATTTACAATTTGCTTTTTTTTTAATATCTAATTTTATGTGTTTATCAAATTGAGAAGGAAATTCCGGATTATTAAGAAAATATATAAATAAGAATGCCAACCTGGGCACAGTGCCGACTGGTCGAGACAACGTCGAGTAGATAGTATTTCCCAAATTCACCACGGGAATCACATGCGATTCGTACAATGTCTCCAAGACAACTACCGGCCTGGAGGTGGTGATGATCTGGCCTTGCGGTTGCCCGAAGTATTTCAACAAAGCCAACTGTTGAGCCTGTTCCGGAGTCAATTGAGACTCAGTGTTGCTGCTGAGTGTAACGTCGCTCTTGATTTTGGACGATGACGTCGATTTGAAGATGTCCAAATCGGAATCGGAGTCGTTATTCGGCACCGCCACTCTCTTGGGCACATCCTCATCATCGCGATCGTCATCGCCAAAGTCGAGTTCGAGATGTAACTCGCTGCCGGCCTCATCGAGCTTCGAATTAAATTCGTTCAGCGTTTTACTCGGAATAAACTGATAGATCTCCATCGGGGGTAGCGTCTTCGTCGCCGTCACTATCCGGGCGATGTTGTACGTTTGCACCAGAGTCAATCGCGTGGTGCTGTTGCCGGCGTAGATCACCGGTAGCATGTGCGTCTTCAGCAACGTTTGCGTCGTCGAGAATGTTTCTGTCAACGTTTCCAACGGCGGTGTCGCTTGGGTGGCATCTAAGGAAATCGCCGGCAGAGTTGCGACGGACGAATCGAGTGGCAAGGTCGACTCATAGGCAGCTCCGGTGTTCACCAGGATGTTCTCCGTGAGCGGTTCGCTGGGCGAGATCGAGCTGCTCGGCTCCGCAGTCGCGAAAGTCTTTTTGATGGTCGATGTCACCGTGATGTAGCGGGTGTTTCGGAGTGTTCCTACCTGGAGAGAGAATATTTTGCTATTGTTATTGGATCGGTGAGTTAACAATTATGTACAGTTTTGTTAAAGTATTTAAAAATTTGACTAAAATTTGAGAATAATTCCGTTGGGCCATCAAAATTATTATGTAGATCACTTAAGTATGATGATAGTATTGCAAAAATGTTTCATATTTTCATATTCAGCAATTAATATAGAACTATAAAACTTTTAATACATATTCTAGCAGCCAATTTGAACGTTCTGTATAATTGTAATATTAATTCAACTGGGAAGTAAATAAATAGATATTAACGATAGAATCGAAAGAGTCCACCTGAAAGGCGTAGGGCGACTTGATAGTAGCGATCTCGAAATATACATTATCGAGATCCGCCGCGGTAGAGATCTCCACGTTGAGTGTCTCCACTGGCAAGATCTGTTCTCCAGGATGCTGCTGATCCTGTTGCATACTGACACTGGCAACATCCTCGCTCTCACTGGGATCTAATTCGTCCTCCGTCAAGGACAGTTCTTTCCTCTGGGCAACATTTGAGACACCACTGGATGAACTCGGGGCAGCGTTGACTGCTGCTGCTGTCGTTACTGTCTTGCTTTGTTCTTCCGAGATCACCCCGGGAAATGATTCCGTTGTACTCGGCTCGGTCGTCGACGTTCGTAGATCCTCCTCGTCTACCTGCTTGCGAATCATGATCCTCGGCTTCGGTGTGGTTTTATACGACCAGCGACCTTGTGTCCTCGGTAGTTTTACCTTGGGCAGAAGACTGGCCGTCGTCGACGGTTGCTGCTCGTTGCTCTTCGATTTTGTCGACTGCTTCGAAGGTGAATTAGTAGACTGATTCGGCCGGAAACCGCTGCGACGACGAGTGATAGGTGTTTCAGTAGTGGTGGTGCTTATGGGTCGATTTCTGAGCACAGGTTTTTTCAGATTATCATCAAGTTTGCATCATTTTATCATGTTTCCTAACTTACAAAAGAAAATAGCGTAAAATTGACGACTGTTTGACAAAACAAAGAAAGAAGATTACTATTTATAATTACTTATAAAAGAGTTATAATTATTAATTTATTCTGCTAATTATACTAATTATATTACTAATTATACTGTTTTATTAACGACTTACTTATAATTTGGTCGCGCCGTGCTAGAGCGATTCTTTCCTGTTCTCGTTTGTTGTGCTTCGTTGTTATCGTATTCATCAGCAATCTTGTTTCGGAATTTAGGCCTGGATGGATTATTATTAGGGGTTGAATGCCTTCGCGTCGTTCGCACGGGAGTACCTAATTCGAAAATTAATCAATGAATCTATTCCTCAAGAATGCAAAAACATTTATTAGTGTTTTATTTTTCACAAAATGTAAAATATTTTGTGAAAAATAAAACATAAATAAAAAGACCTATTTTTACAGGTTGAAAAATTCCTGTACATATAAAATTTTTATTACATGTACGATTTTATAACTTACATATGTAAGGTACAAATACTTTTCGTAAAAAGTTTACTATATTACAAACAGATTTAGATTACGTGAAGAAAGATTTTATACGCAATATAGATTCTTCAAAGTTTGTTAGAGAATACTCACCAGAGGATCCACTGAAGAGAGCTTCCAAGGGCAGGGAAGACTCTTCTTGTTGCTGGATCGGCGTGGGCTCCAGCTGAGGTTTGAGCTTGCCATGTTGTGGACCGATGGTCTTTAAAATCCGATTGGTGCTGGATGGTCGAATCTTACCCTCAGCTACTGGCGCGACTGGCGCCGTTAAAATCCTTGACGAACTTTGCAGCACTTGAGCGTACTTGCCATTGATGTAAGTCCCAATCACACTAGTCTCGTGGACGGTGGTGAGTCCGTCCTTCACGATGGTACCACCAAGTTTGGTCACCAAACCTGTCGGATTCTCCTTGTCCCTTCGTGGGGTGGCGCGCGGCTTGTGATGAGCCTTCGATGAAGGTCGCAGGTTGATCAACTGTCAAAGATTAGGATTATAGTTAAAAGATCACATCGAGATTATGATAATTGTAATTCTATGTGATAAATAATTATATAATAAAATAATAATGAACTATTGTTAATTTGTTAAATCATATTTTTAGGAGGTAGATTTAAAATTGTATTCTAATAGAAAACGAAGGAAGAGAAGAAGAAAGTACGTGATAAAAATTATAACTATAACAAAAGTATTATGAAAAATATTTAAATAATGTTTATATACGTATATATAGAGAAAATTATCATTATATAATAACAACTTAATTTACAAACGTAAGCATACATTTGAAACGCATTAACGTCGGAAAATATTGTTGGAAAAGCTCATTCGTCGCGTTTCGCGAGTGAAACCGATTTATCGGTGGGATCGGATCGGACTTTCACGCCGATCGCCGCAGGACGGGCGAGGGACGGACGAGGGACGAAGGGAGACTAGAAAGGATCGGCTAGGAAATCGATTACGGCACGCGGAAAATTACGCCGACGCGGTCATTCCGGATAATTCTGTGGCGGTTTCGCGCGCGAGTTATCGTGAAAGTCGCTCGTGGATGCCCGTTGCGCAATTTTACGGCAGAACCGAGCACGGTTTTCGCGCGACCTTCTCCTCGCTCGCTCGATGACCCATTTTTCTGCCGAAAGTTTTCGGCTAGAGGCTATCAAACCGCGTAGACTAAAGAAGAAATTCGCTTTCGACGATGCATTTTCCACCGGCCGATTTGGCGACACGATCCGGTTTGGCGGCAATTAGTGGAGTCGAACCAGATTCTCGATTTTCATTTCTCGCGGCTCTCGCTCACGCGCGAAGATCAATGTCGCTTTTATAAACTGGATATCTATCTGGATATCTAGCTTTTCTATCTCCGCGATCGATCTAGCGTGAAGAGTTAATCACGGATCTCACGAGTTTGAGATCTTTTCCATGACTGGATTCCAAAAAAGTCAATGTCACATTTCTGACAAATTGGATCATACTTTAAATAATCTTTTTTAACACGTAGGATTGGATAAGTTATAAAATATGATTTTTAAGAAGTTATTTGTTACCGCGATGTCTTTCAAAAGTAAACCATTTGATCAAAAAAGCAGCGAGAACAAATTTTGAGAAATAACTTTAATGAAGCTATAAAAAGATGACGCAGCTCTTGAAAACGTCTCTCTGTCATTAAAATGTTAAAATATCAAAAAAAATTGATAATTTATAAAAATAAAGAATAAAATATATAAAAATATGACATTTAAAAGTATATTATATACCCTAAAATATTATATGTTTAGATACGTATATATCATTTTCTGCATTTAACTCATCAGCAGAGAAAGCAGATCAAAGACAGTTAGTTGGACTAGTTTGGAAATATTAAAAGGAGGTCAGGAGGCCATTAAAAAGATATAAAAAGATATAAAATTACTTATCAGATATAAAACGTAACATAAAATTAAATAAAACGTCTAAAATTACATATTATGAAGTTTCAAAAACGGAGAATTAATTATTTATGCCATTTACCGATATTTGCTCATTTTTATGGTTTTCAATCATTTCTCTGAGCTACGTTGTATGTCTCATACCTTGAATGTCTCATCGATCACTTCCGTTGGCTGCTTCGAGAGAAAATCATATTCCGGTTCAGCAAGATTGTTTTTCACACCTGGAGCTTCATCTTTGGCACGTATCTGGACAACCGATGACAATACGGGCGTTTTTGTCTGTTTACTTGGTTCCTGAAGAAATTTTTTAAATTTAATCTAACTTTCAATATAAGTTAAATTAATTTAATTTATCTTTTCAATAATTACTTATACAATATTTTAATTTGCACAATTTGCATAGTATGATAATTTAATATTATAAAATAATATTCTATAATAATTGAAACAATTAAAAACTTTGTTATATGTAATTTAAATACATAATTGAGGTCAATTTTTTTAAATGTAATTATTGTAAATTGTATGTATATTAAAATTATATTTGAAAAATGTCTCTCAGATATTAAACAACTAAGGATGTTTATAAAAAAAAAAACTTCGAATTAGTCAAAGAATTAGATATTGATGCAATATATAATGGCAGGATCTATCCTGCACGTCATTTTGATCTCACCTGATTCTTCGTTGGTTTCGGTGCGGCATTTTCGGACGGATTTACCACATTCTGCACGGAATTGACGACGATCTTTGTACCCTTTATCTGCTTTTTCGTCTCGCCACCCTGATTCTCGGCCTTGTGAGTCTTGCTGGGCTGGATATCGGGGATATTCTTTTTTAACTGCTGTTCTGTTGTTGGTTTTGTATGAATTGGCGGTGTGGAGGACGTGGTCTTCTTCCCGGAGTCCCCTTCTGAAAACGAACGACGCATTTGCATACCTGAGAAGAATAAAAATCGCGGTCCTACGAGGTCGAAGAATCGGGGAAAACGAGACTAAAAAAGCTCGTTCTGAGCCAACACTCGCACCGAAGGCTTCGCCAAATTCTTTATCCTTTAAAGAGAAAGGATTCAAAATATATGGAAATTTCTTTTCTCGACGTAATTTTTCTTATGCATGTTAAATATCATGTTATTTCTATTTTAATTGCAATTTAAATTACATTTAATTATTTTAAAGCAAGTATGTATAAGAACATATGACACATAACATTTTATTTTAATAATTATATTAGCTAATTATTTTATTCCATTTTAATTTTAGTGGTAATGATCAAACTGATTATTTTTGATATTGCTATGTGCGTCCTGTTATAATAATTATCATTAATATCTCTTTGGGATCTATAATTTTCATTCGGAGAAATAAATGAGAAGCAAACAAGAACAATTTTATTTCGTGTGGGTGGTGATTCGAAAAGTTAAGGAGAAGAAATGACAAGAGAATATCATGACGAACAATGAGCATGATCTGTACGCGGACCCGGACAGTGATATGCTAAAAGAGAGATCCCCGATGCCCCTCGCCAAGGCTCACCTTGAGTACAGACTCTTCAGCGGGGCTTTCAAGGTCTCATCCTTACTCGTAACGTAACTCGAAGGATCGGAGTCCGTGAACGAGCGCGGCATAACAAAAAGGTGTCGATTGCGCTTAGAAAGTGATTTCTGACATTATCTACAACTCAAAATCGCATGACATCTCATGGCTACGGGCGATTGCAAATCTTCCGTTTCGTCGATTGCGATAGCCCTTGATATTTACGTTTCTTCGTGAATTCTCTCCTCAGTAAAGTTTCTTATCGCATAATCAACAGTCAAGCACAGAAAGGCACTTCACATTGAATAATTATCTTAATAAGTAAAATGGAGTAATTTTTCTCTAAGTATTTAATCAAATCGCATTTTTGAAAAAAAAGCGAGACTTAATTATTACATCGACAATTTTTTCGGGAAAATTTAATTAATTTTATTTTAAATCAGAATCACAATATTATATAATTTTTATGACTCTATTCGCTATTGTTGTAACGATATTAATGCACTTCGAAATATTTTACGAATTTGAAATAATTATTTGAGTGTAATTAATAAGTAAAATGTTACCTGGAGGAGCACTCTGAGGGCTGAAGACCATCACCGTGTTGCCGATCGTCGTGGTGAAGTCCAGGAAGCCATAGACGGTTTGTGTGATGAAGTCATTATTTGTAGCTGCTGGTTCGATTGCCGCAGCTGCGTTCTCCGGGTGGCTTTTGTAAACTTGCGCGGTGGACACTGCAACTGTAAGTCGCAAGCTCACAAACTTGCTTTACTTTTACTTTAATTGTTTATCGCGTTTGCAATTTTAGCATACATAAAATATAAAATAATTTGACAACATAGAGAGAAGGTATAACGTAAGATTGATTGATTCTTTTTTACAATCGAGCATATTAACGTAATTTTACCCTATTCATAATATTTGCGGTGACTGAAGGAAATTAATAAAGTTATAAATTTTGATTTTAAGACAAATTATACTTTTTGGCTAATATTTATTTGCAACGCAGTTTCTGGCCACGGCAGACCTTGAAATGAGAAGTATTTTATTCAAAATTCTGCATTTATCAACGATGACGTCAATTCACTCACCGTACGCTAAAGCTGCGACAAACACGAAGTATCTCGATGTCATTGCGTTCAGTCTGATCTCATCCTACACGGATACACGAAATCTCGGAATCTGAAAGCGTAAATAAGAAAAAAGGTATGAAAAAATTTCCTCGTTTCTATCTAATCATTCTGTGTATATAATGACCGTTGTAACAGTCTCATTTTTTTACGTTGTGTATGCTATAAAAATATAATGTTATCCCCACCGTTCGCCATAATCCAGAAGTAAACGAAAAGCTGATGTAGAAGAAAAAGATGGCGTGAAATCGATATAGTTATGATTATTATTAAGTTGCTGAATTTTAATGATTACATGAGTAAAATAAAATATATACAAAATGTACAAAATTACATAACTTTTAAGATCTAGCCACTGCGTTATCTCTCTCCCTGCAGCCCCCCTATTTCTCCCTTACTTTTCGATGAATAGAAACATAGAAAAATATTACAAATTATTAGAAAGATATATACAATTATAATTACTTTATGACTACATATAAAACGAAATAAGTTGATGAGCAAGGATAAATATAAAGATATCGCGAAGAGAGATAATTTGGTGTATCGTTAATTTGTGCATGATAATTTAAATTGTCATGTAGTACAGAATCATATTTTCTACGATTATGAGAGAATTGAGCGGCGACTCTCAGATAATTACGCAATTATTGCAATTGCACGTGCAATCGGTCACTTACAACCATCTCCTGGGATAGGATAAAAATTACGTGTTGCATCAGCACAAATATGACACGTTATTTGCAAAGCACCGTTACTTTTCCTCTCCTTTAACAATTAACGATTATGTAAAAATACCGGCGGATTTTGCTTTATTAGAAATAACGTCTCGTTGATTATCTTCGCACTTGTCTTCTTACGAGAATTGTTAATTATTCATCTCCTACGTAAAAGATCGTCCTCGGACTTACACAGTTATCTGTGTAACTGTTTACGTAGTTACTATCTCCATCTATCTAAGAAAGAAATATTTCAATAAACATGTAATCAATTTCTCTCTTCAACAAATCTCTTCTCTATCCAAGATTTGAATCAACTTTAATCTTTTATAATTTCATCCATTTCAATTTCAATATCCGATATTTTTATTCCTTCGAAAATTTCTTTGTTTAAGAAATTTTTTAAGAGATTTTATTCACGTAAAACATTGACATTGTCGATCGAATTTTAATTCATTCCGGCGATCGGCGCCGGCGAGTGAAAAGGGTAAAAAGTAGCGGGGCGATTTCGCGGTTGCGTGAGGCAATCGAGTGTCGCAAGTAAAAATTTCCTTCTCGCCCGATCGCTATCTGCTCGAGCATGAGCATTGTGAGGCATGAGCTCGTTCGGAAAACATCCTGTGTGAAGCAAACGCAACGGCGGCGTGTTAACACAATCGCGGCGCGGAAAGTGCGCGCGCGCTCGCGACGAAATCGTTACGTAACGCTTAACCGCCGCCTCGCTGGTAATCATTTTACCCCGAAACAATGGTAAGAGAGAGACGCCCGCGAAGAGGAGGCACGACTGGAATCTATGATTTCGAATCGCGGACCGAATCGACGGTGGCGATCCGAAAAGCGCAACGCGTCGCGCGCATTTTTTTTTCTATTCCCGCGAGCGCGTCGTGTGCCGTTAGATCGTGTGCCGTTACATCACTATAGGTGTATCGGAATTACCGGACGTTCCTTTAATCACAAGAGCCTTGAACAATGTGAGGCAATTCTTGGCGAAGCCGGATCGAGAGAGGATATTGTTCGTCGCACCTTTCCAATTGCGCGTTTTCGTAATTAAAATCTTTGAATCGAGATTGCGATTTTTTTTCTTTTAAAGTCCGTACGGAATAAATTGATCTTCTCATCAACTTCCCCCGCGCCGAAATCGCCGGAAGTCGCTTATCTTTAGCTTTTAATTTACCCGCTCGCAGTTTACATACTTTTTTTGTCTTTTCAATTCTAAACTCGTGCATTTTTGGATATTTTTCAGCGGCGAGGGCCGCTCGACTTTCGCTGCTTTCCTTTTCGTACACATCGCGAAGCGCAAAGTATTTACTTCCGTCGAAAATTCGGCATCGCAGCGGCGATGTCTTAATCCAACAGTTTTCCCTAGGAGACCTAGAATTGCAATCGGGAAATCGGAGTAGCTGCATCGCAGAATCCGAGAGCGCTCCTTTCACCCGTGTTCTCTCACGACCGCGCCGCGGCTGATCTCGGCGTAGTCGTAATAACAGCTGTGTGTGAACACCAATTGAAAAGCGCGAGTTGCAATGCTCCTCTATCGCAAGAAGCGCTTCTGATGACAGGATTCACGGCGATTATCATCGTGAGATGGACACGAGTGAGAGTCCGCGAACCGTCGTGCCTCGTCGAAAGGCGGACCGATTTCTCGCGGGATTGATATTAATTTACCACCTAGTCGCAGAATTCTCTATATAACTGAAAGCACGAAAATGATTTTTTTTCTGTTTAATGTCCATTTCTATCAATATAGATTACTTTTAATTTCAGTTTAACTTTATTTTTTTTTTTTAGTTTTAAGTATTGGAGAAAGATGAAGAGTAAATTAAAGCAGAATTGAAGTCTAATCTTCCATTAATAGAAGTGGACATTAGAGAGAGATTATCGTAAATATAATGCAGAGCTATAAAATCTGTTTGACATTAAAGATTAATTAAAGATAATGTTACGTAATAATTTTGATAATGGCACTTCTATTAGAAAATAAATTAGTCTGATAACATCAAATTTTTTATTTTTATCCGTTCGTTAATATATCGATGCAGACAAGACTTTTAGAGTTTCGTTGATTAGTGTTACGAAAGAAAATAACGCAAGTCCAGGCAAAGCAGCCAAAAATAATTACCGCGAGAATTCAAGGTGTGCGGGGGCAACAATGACGAGCCATTTTGCGCGAAGGTAAAGAGGAGTGGCCCTACTCTCTCGCTCTATTCTATTCTATCGCATTACACACACGCGCATACATGTGCGCGGTATGTGTAATGACCTGTAAAAAAAGAAATACCGTGCTGCAACGCGCATAAATCTCGGTCGGACACCGGAGTGAACCCTTTCCCGTGCGCGCGCGATTCTTTCTTGCGATCAAGATGTATTTTCTTGCGGAAAGAACGGCGGAATGCGCAATGCAGCGCGGAAAAAGAAAAAGGACTTTAATGATTCACGTTTAAAAATAATTTATAGCTCACTGCTTAGGAATTAAACTCTCTCCGTTACTACGTATTTTTCAACGCGTGTTTACATAACGCTTCGTTATGTTTTTATTCAATTTGTTAAATTAATTAAGAGATTATATAAATTATCACGTGAATGGTGAACCATTTAAACTAGATTTCAAATAAGATAAAAAAGAAGATAAGATAGAAAAAAATGCGCCTTACGTCGTCGAATTGCGGATCGACGTCGTGTCGTAAATACGCTCGTGAAATCCTGTCCTGATGAAAATTAGTGGTCGATCCAGTCGAGAATAACGCGTTGGTGACCGACTAATTTATTATGTCCGTGAACGTAAATTTCGTGGTCAAGAGTAAAGATCGGGGCGAAAGTCTGTCTCGGTCCCAAATATGTTAAAACCGGTCATCAACGGCGGGAACGGTGTTCATCCGCTCGATCACTCAAGATCATGGTCAGTCCGAGACCCCCGAGACCATCTCCGAAGTCAACTGCCTACGTATTTTTACAGTTATATTTTTGGCATTTTTTTTTCTCACATAAATGCAAACTCGAGTGATGCACTCAATGTATCTCTCTAATCCCCATTTCGATTAAGTAGATTTCGGGGTTCAACTTACTTTTCTTTATAGAATTATATAACATAGAAAATGAATTTAATCAAGATGAAAATTAATCTACATTGGATGGAAATGGGGATAAATTCGAATTCGCATTTTCATGATCTGCGATCATGATTTTAATCGAAAATGAAAGATGGCTTTTTTGCTCAAACAATTTTTTTAGTTCAGTGAACAATACATATTTCTGAAGTTAAAATATGTTTTTTGAATAAGATGTGATCTTCTTTTTTTGATGAATGTTTAATAATAGAAAATTTTTGATGCGAAGATATAAATGTAGCGCATTTAAAGAGTATTCTTTAGCGAATACATTCTAGAATAAATAATAAATTGACTTAAGTAATGTATTCATTAAAATAAATTCTATTATTTTATTATTGTAATTATGTTAAATTTGCTGTCGGGAATTTGAAAGACTGTGGAATGAAAATTTTTCACTATTGACATATTATTTTTGTGTCATAATATGCCAGTAGTTAGCTTCGCTTTTAAGAGACATTTCGCTTCTCACTCGTCCGATGTATATTAATCGGTTTTCGTTTAGTCATTTCTCCTCTTTTGGAAACATTATTGCTGTCACTGAGCGATAATACGAAAGCAGCATGGGAGGACACGTTCCGAAAACGCCATAAATCAGACGAGCCTACTTAACATAAATAAACAGGGAGAAACTCTAAGTTAACATATTCGCGTTTTCAAATACAAAATAGATTCTTAAATATGATGCGAAATTACATCCGCATATTTGTTCATTTGAACTGACATAGTAGCCATGAACCTTCTAGATGCGAGACAAATTTAGAGACATCTTTTTCACTCTTTCTTTTCATCTCAGAGAAGAAAAATAAAGCAAAGCAAAATAAAATATCACTTGAGAAAGGCTGAAATATCCGTTCACATTTGCACAAGTATGAGATTAATTAAAAATAGAAAACGATAAAATTCGTGACCGAAGTGTTCTCGAGAGGGAGGGACTCTTTTCTTCTCCCACGACGTGGCGATTAAGTTCAGGTAAACGGCAATTTCTTATGTGAATTTACGTCTGATGTAACTCATTTGTGCTCGCGTCTGCTGGGCAGGCCGATCCTAGACGAGCCTAATCACAATCTAGCGGTAAGACGAACTCTGAGAATTCTTGGGAAAACACTTTCCCATGCGTGTGGCTTCTTCTTCTTCTTCTTCTTCTTCATTGTCTGCTTCCAAGTGGAAAAAGTTAACTCTCGAGAGAGAAGGATCCTCGCGTTGCCTTAACGGACAGCTGGGCGAGA